GAGTTTGGCCCGGAGATTGTAGAGGAGACTACGGAGGTAATACGGAGGATTCGCGCCCATCTGAAGACGGCGCAGGACAGACAGAAGTCATATGCCGATAAGTGACGTCGAGACTTCGAGGTCGGGGATTAAGCCTTTCTCCGAGTGCAGGCGATGCGGGGCCATGCGAGGTTCGGGCAGAGCGGGAAGCTGAAGCCGCGCTACGTCGGACCTTATCCCGTGATCGCGAGAGTGGGAGCTATTGCATACCGTCCTGGATTGCGCCGGAGCTAGGCAACATTCATGACGTGTTCCATGTATCGATGCTACGGAGGTACGTGGCAGATCCCTCTAACGTGCTACAGCCCCAGGAGTTGGAGTTCACGGAGGCTACGCGTTTCCATGATGAGCTGCTGTAGATCGTGGACCGGAAGATCAAGAAGCTACGGACGAAGGACGTGCCACTCGTGAAGGTCTTGTGGCGAAGCCAAGGGGTCTCTGACATGACTTGGGAACCCGAGGCAGAGATGCGTAGTAGTTATCCGCATCTATTTACTACAGCGTTGTACGAACTCCTTTAGATATGACGTTCGGTTTGTATCAGACTTATGCTTCGGATGACTTGACGACATGGATTGTGTTTTGGTGATAACATCGAGTACGAGAAAGTGTTAATGATATCATGCAATTCTGAATTCGAGGACGAATTCTTTTTAAGGGGGGAGGATTTGTAATACCCCGAAACCCAATTCGAATATTTAATTATTTAGAAATGAATAATTAAATAGAAATATCACAAATCACCAAAATTTAGTAGTACAATGCCGAGAAGAGGTACGGAGATCGTCACGTGCGGAAAGGATCGAAAAAGAACGAAGGAAACAAAAAAAAAAAGAAAAAAAATAATAATGTGGACTTGGTCAGCCGGACCAAGGCTGGTCAGGGGCTGACCAAGACCACTCAGACGGACTGGGTTTGGTGGACGGACCAAGAGGAAGAAAAGAAGGAATGTGGACTTGGTCAGCCGGACCAAGGTTGGTCAGGGGCTGACCAGGACCACTCAGACGGACCAAACGGGCACGGACGGACCAAAAGGGTGCGGAAAGTGAGTTGGGCAGTCCCGGTCCGGCGGACCAGAATCTTGG